ATACATTACATTTTGGGCAAGACACTTTACTCTGCCTGGCGCAGTACACTGCAGGACACACTGCACTGCAGGACACACTGCACTGCAGGACACACTGCACTGCAAGACACACTGCACTGTAGGAAACACTGCACTGCAGGACACACTGCACTGCAAGACACACTGCACTGCAGGACACACTGCACTGCAGGACACACTGCACATTAAACAGGGCCGCACTTTAAGCAGGACACACTATAAAAGAACCTGTGGGTATGAGGAGGAGGGAAAGAACGAAAGAGAAAGGGTAGAGAAGGAGGGAGGGAAGGTAGGAAAGAGGGTAGAGAAGGAGGGAGGGAAGGTAGGAGGGATGGTAGAGAAGGAGGGAGGGAAGGTAGGAAGGAGGGTAGAGAAGGAGGGAGGGAGAGAAGGAGGAAGGGAGGAAGCAGAAAAAGACTTCGGTATAAAGGACAGCTAGAGGACAAGGTCATATGTTCACGGGAACGAGTTAAACCCACAGGGGACATACTGCTCCTAGGAAATAGGAGGCAGTCAGGTTTGATTCGAGGAGGGTAGTTCTAATTCCTTGAATCAATAGCCTATTAAACATCGTCAAATGAGGTCTCTTCAGTGCATCGTATATTCAGGAATATATTAACAGTTAATTGGTATGTGGTTAGATGGTGCTGGCGGTGGTGGTGGTGGTGGTGAAGGTGGTGGTGAAGGGGGTGGTGATAGTGGTGGTGGTGGGGGGTGAAGATAGTGGTGGGTGGCAACAGTGGTGGTGGTGGTGGCAACAGTGTGGTGGTGGTGGCAACAGTGGTGTGGTGTAGTGATGGTGGTGGTGGTGTAGTGATTGGTGGTGGTGTGGTAGTGTGGTGGGGTGATGGTGGTAGTGTGTGGCAAAAGTGGTGGTAGTGGTGGTGGCAACAGTGGTGGTGGTGGCAATAGTGGTAGTGGTGGTGGTGGGAGCTGGTAAGACTGCTTACTACCTCGGGCTTGGATTCCCTCCCTTTATGTAGGGATTCCCTCCCGCTTTGTATATATGTTTATAAACGTATTATATAAATTATATATTATATATATTATATATATATATATATATAATATATATATATATATTATATTTTATATAATATATATATGATAATTATAATATATACTATATATATATTATAATATATATATATATATATAACAATATATATATATATATATATATTTAAATAATATATATATAATATAAATATATATATATATATATATATATATATATATAATATATATATATAATTATATATATATATGTAAATATTATTTAAAATAATTATATAATATATATATATATATATATATATATATATATATATATATATATATATATATATATATGTTCAACAAGTCGACCGTTTCCCACCGAGGCAGGGTGACCCTAAAAGAAGAAAATCCCCAAAAAGAAAATACTTTCATCATCATTCAACACTTTCACCACACTCACACATTATCACTGCTTTTGCAGAGGTGCTCAGAATACAACAGTTTAGAAGCATATACGTATAAAGATACACAACATATCCCTCCAAACTGCCAATATCCCAAACCCCTCCTTTAAAGTGCAGGCATTGTACTTCCCATTTCCAGGACTCAAGTCCGACTATATGAAAATAACCGGTTTCCCTGAATCCCTTAACTAAATATTAACCTGCTCACACTCCAACAGCTCGTCAGGTCCCAAATACCATTTGTCTCCATTCGCTCCTATCTAACACGCTCACGCACGCTTGCTGGAAGTCCAAACCCCTCGCCCACAACACCTCCTTTACCCCTCCCTCCACGAATGTACCCAACAATCCCTGGTGACTATAAATGAAAATCAACTACGCTAGCTGTAACTCGCCTCCACTTCGTATCGAATATTAAACCCAGTAGTTGGTAGTCTGAAATCCCTCTTCCTGCTAATTAAGGGCGTGGGCGTGGGTTATTATGAGTGACTTGAGCATGATGTTCTGTTAGAGGTGGGTTGCGAGGTACACTTTGGGATGTGCTCCCAAGTGGAGGCTTATGGCATTGTTCTTATGAGTACAGAAAGAAACCTCACCCAGTACTTGTGAGGCTAGTGATGATCTCATCCCTATCGCACCGTAAGTTCTCGAGGTATATAAGTAAGCAACAATCATTGGTGGGGCCTATATATATATATATATATATATATATATATATATATATATATATATATAATATATATATATATATATATATATAATTTATATATATATATATATATATATATATATATATTCGGATATAAGGAGGAAATCGACCCTGGGTCTATGCACAAACAAAGAATTCATTCTACAGTTGTTCAGTGGTGGGTTGCAAATAGGTAGCAGACTCTACTGTCTGCCACGAGTGCCACCACCTGCACTGTCTGCCACGAATGCCACAATCTGCACTGTCTGCCACGAGTGCCACCACCTGCACTGTCTGCCACGAGTAAAACCACCTGCACTGTTTCCACGAA